CAACTTCGGAGGAGCTGGAGCGGGTCAGGGAGAGGCTGGCCGAGACGTGCCACCTCGGCTGCGCGCACGCCAGCCACGACCAGTTTGACTTGGTGATCGGGCTGCCGCTGATGCCGCCCGTGCTGCCCGCCCCAGCGGCCACTGCCGAGGTCCACTTCTGGGGCGACGGCCTCGACGACTCGCTCTAACCACGCAGTCGCTTACACCGACGGTTCGGGCTACGACACGGAGTGGCCCGAGCTCTGCCGCTGCGGCTGGGCGGTCCTGCAGATGGGCCCTGACAACATGCCCGTCCGCGCGATCTACGGAATGCTGGCGGGGCCGAGGCAAATTGTTGGCCGCGCAGATCAAACAGTTATGCTGATGACCCTCAGGCATCGCCCGTGGCTGTCCCACATCGTCTCGGACCTGGAGTCGCTGGTCAACGAGGGCAATGCGTGGGACGACAGCCTGGCCAGCTCTTCAAACGAGTACGCTGACATCTGGCGCGCGACCTTCGCTGCAGCAAGGCCCTGTCCACCAGGCTTCTCGCGGTGCCCTGCCCATCGTGATATCCAGCATGTCTTGGACGACCAGGTCGCCGCCGACTTCTACGGCAATGCGTTGGCCGATTTCTTTGCAAACATCGGGGCTCGTGAACACGTACTTCCAAGAGCTGTGCATGACGCGTTCGCTGCCAGTCTCTCGGATGCTCGCCTCGAGGGTAAATGATTTGCCTGGCCCATGGCAAAGCTCGGTGAGCAGCAGGAGGAGCTCGACGCGTTGGTGAAAAAGACCAAACGCCCCGTAACGCCCACTGCACCAGTACAGGTGGTGTCGAGGCGCCATCGCCTCCGCCCTGTCTTTGGAGGCTTCTGGCGCTGCGCCTTCTGTGCAGCCATTGCTAGCACTGACGAGGCCAAGCAGCGTCTCGAGCGCACGGTCTGCACGCCCTCCCCGCTGCAGAAGTTCATGGCTGTTGCCTCTGCTGGCTCCTCTTCTCCTCCTCCTCCTCCTCCTCCTCCTCCTCCTCCTCCTCCTCCCTCCCGCTCGGGCGTCTAGTAGTTTGGGGCTGGGTCTGCACCGCCGCGGGTGGACCCTTCGGCTACTGCATCAGCTAGTAGCGCATCGCGTCCAGCGGCTATTGTCCCCGGGAGGCCAGATGCTCCAGAGCTCGGAGTGGCAAGTGTTTCAGGCGCCGGGGATTTTACCATCCTTAGGGGACGCCATTTGGTCTCTGAGGGCCCTTTTGTGTTTCATTTAAACCGTGGGGGGCAATTCCTCAACCCGGCAATCCCCGACCCTGCTTGCCCACTGCAACGGTAAGCGTGGGGTTACTCAGGGAAGAATCACGGCCTTTAATAACCTTAAGGCCAAACGCCACCCGCGAACGGGAATTCCCCTAAGCGGTGACACCCAACGCGGCTAAAGGGATTGCCGTGTTTTCCGTCTTTACTCGTGGTTCCTTCGTTTCTTCGGTGGAGGTCATTGGGCTTGCGTCTCCTCCTTCTACCTGTCCGCCCTCCCCTCTCGCTGGTGCCCCCTGCCCCCAACCTGGATCCCCCCCCCCCTGCCCTGGAGGGGATCGCCCACCCACCCCTCGGGACGGTTGGCCTTCGGCACCAACAGATGTTTAACTTCTTCGCCTCGCAGGCCCGCAAAAACTACATTTTCACGACGACCAGCGTGACCCGCTGGCCTGCCGCACATGCAGACAGGCCAGCGCGCTCTGCAAATCAGCACGGGGCCAGCTTGTTTTGACCGTACAGCCAAGAAAGTCGCTAAGGACCGCTTTGTTTTCGGGATGGGCTCTGCTTTTCGGGCCGCTGCTCGCCGTAAGGTTGTCTCGGTCGGGGAACGCATTCGTGTCCGAGGTTCGCCGTGGCCAGAAAAGCCGTTTCGTTCCTCATTTAGCGCCCCTTGGCAGCATCATGGCCCTGACACGCTGATGGGGTCGTCCGACTGGCGTGACGTTTGAGCAGGGCGGTCTGGCTCTCAAGTGCTTCATTGGGAAAAGGAGAAGAGGCCTCCGGAAACAGTCTTGGGGGCACATGGTTCTGAAGGGTTGCGAGTAGCAGGCGGTCAAGGCATGAACTGCGTGATAGAAGCATCCGCTTCCGTGTTTTCTGTTGTCCCTGAGTACGTCATGGTATAACCTCGCAATGTCGTGGAGCAATACGCGAACTGTCAGAGAACGTCGACAGAGAGACAACGACAGTAAGAATGCAAGCTCAGCCCTCATCAGGGCCCGCCTCAGCTGAGCCTCCGTGTTTCGGCGGACCAGGAAGCAGACTTGTGAGCGTTCCGGCACGGAATGCTTGCAACAGCACGTCGGTCGGAAGAGCAGCCAGAGCTGGTTTGTAGTGCAGGAAACGTCGCAGAGTTCAAGTCTTTTTTCCCAAGAGACGCTTGCATAATACGCTCGCGATCTAGCCCGCGACCCACCCGCGACCCGCTCGCGAACCCCCCGCAACCCACACGCGACCCACCCCGCGAACCACCCGCGAACCCCCAGCGACAC